CCCAAATTTTTCTTCCTCCACTTGGCTGTGGGTGTATCATCTTCTCATCGATAGTGTAAGTTTTTATACTGTACATACAGTATAATAACTGAATGTTGTTCTTTATCTTTGTACTTTTTGGTTTCTTATGGTGTAATAACAGTTACTCTCAGGAAGAGCAGAAGCAGGAAATATGTTTGATATTAGTGACCAAATAGTTGATAGTGTTTAATTTCTGGCAACATTATACTGTACACTGTGGAGTGTACTTTTGTGATGTGAAATGGAGAAAACTGAATAGTTACTCATTGTAAATGCAAGTACCTGTATACCTGTATTTATTCTTTCCGGCATTTTTTGTTCCTTTTGCTATTGAAATTGTAGTTACAGAATAGCCAATCCTAGGGAGGACTGGTTAAACAACTGTTAAAGCTGACAAAATTTCTCGGCACTGTACTTACCGTAATTAGGCATGAAGAGCCAGTAAAATTTTAAAATACAGAGTTCTCTATTATATTTAAGAGTGAAACTAAATTTTAAATAGAGAAAAAGAAAAACAAAAACAACTACTGTACCTGTATTACCAAATATTGTTCAGGTTTTGGTGCATATTTCACATGATGTAAGAAAGGGATTGAGATACAACTAACCATACAACTAATTTTCTGGATGATACCTTTCAAAAACTATGACCTTGACTTTTGATCATGACACTTGATATAAACAACAGTTCTAGGGTTTCTTGTGGTGAATGTATTTACCAACTACAGTATGAACATTGTAGTTCTTTTTTCTTTTGAGTTATGTTACCAGTTGGCTGCTGCCCTACTTGTGTGATCCTGTTGCTGCGAGTTATTAGTACTGTATATTAACTCATTAAGAGAGAACAAATTGACTTGTCATCTAAATTTTTTGACAAGAACGATCATTTTCCTTTACCTTAAGGAGTTCTGTTTATGAAAATAACATACTGTGTGTGGGGAAGCATATTATCCACTGTCTTATTTTGTTTTACAATGTCAAGTTTATTTGAAAAACTTTGAGAACACTGCAGCAAATTATCGTGTGCTTGGGTAAATGGCTTCCATTTGTCTGTCTAAGTAGTTGTTGACCTTTTATATACTATACAACAGTATAGGGTACTGTATTAGACTTGATACAGGATTAGTTGTGGCCACGCTTTTTTTATGCACTGCAACATATAGTACTGTACAGTACATACAGTATTCACAGCTAAAGGAAATACAGTAGTAGTTACTTGATCATGAAGCAGCCATTTTTTCTTCTTTTTTTTAATGTATCTGTCAGCCTACACCTTGTAATGTGCAGTACAGTGTATATTTATTTAAAAAATATGCAAGGAAAGAGAAACAAAGTTGCCAAACTTTCTTCTGCATCTCAAAAATATATTAACGGTTAATTAATTATCTGTGAAGATACGTATCTTGAGATACAAACACAATCAAGTTGGCTGTTTCTCTTTCTTTTTTTTAGATTTTTTTTCTTTACTATATTTACAGTATGCTGTACGTATATTAGAATATGCAAACAATGACCATGTGATAAGTTGGAAATTAACCAAAGAATGGGAGGGTGAGCAGATGACTGCAGTGCAATTGCTATGTTTGTGCATCACAACATAGGCAACAGAGAAGGCGGATGTGAAAATAACTTTGCATTGTATTGTTGTCTACTTCTAAGGTGCTAACTTTTGCTTGATGAATAAAGTCGCTCACTATTGCCGTATGTTTGGTCATTTTGTAACCTGATTAAATCTCTAGTAAAGGTTTGTGACTTAATACTTGGCTCAGGTGATTCATGTACAGTCGGGGACAAAAGTTCGCTCCCCGTGGTGAAATTGACTCACGGGAATGAGTCTCTGAACTGAATTACCCTGACTTAGTTCATCTCATTTGGGGTCGATGCTTCTTCATTTTGGTTGGGAGCGAACTTTTGACCCTGACTGTACAATATTGTACAGGCAGTCCCTGAGTTATGAACACCCACATTTATGAACAAGACTCCAATATATTCATCACTAAAACCATTTTTACATTACCAGTACTTTATATCGTTTAACATCACTTTATTTAGAGTATTTACATAATTTGTTATGTATGGGATATTACTTTTGTTTTGTGTGGGTAGGGTTGTGCTTTAACCTAACCTAAGCTTTGGAATTAACACTGGGCCGACTTATGAACCGGGTTCAGGAACATAATCCATTCGTAACTCGGGGACTACCTTTACAGTATATACAGTAAAACCCTGGTCGTTCCTTGACATGAGCAGCTGCAACTATTTCATTAATTAGCTGTGTCATCTCATCATATCAAAGTCTTCGAAAAAAGATCTTTTGATATAACAGTTGCCAAGGAAGGTTGAATACAAGGAGTACAATTATCACATTTAACTGTCCACAACAAGATCTCATTTAGCTCAGTCATAAGCTGTGATTGCCGAGTGAATTCCCAGTTCCCAGCGGTATTCCAGACTGCATATGTCTCCCTCCCTGTCTGTCTCTCCCGTCAGGAGGTAATTGGATCCCTTATCTTTATACTGTAGCTATTTGTATAGTTTTTGGATGTAGCCAGACAGTGCTGAACATAGTATCTGTGTTTATCATGTTGCAAAAGTATTTAATTTACTGTACTTGATTAACAACCGAGTTCAAGGTCAATCGTTGTAATAGTGTAATGTTGAACTTGCACACGTAGAATTTGACTGCGTTCATGCACAGTGTGCATGAAGAATGTATTAAATTTTAGGCTCCCCATTCAGGACTCATAACGCCATGGCTTTTACTGCCAATTTTGTATCCAATCTGATCTGCATGTTTCTCTTCAGTTCTTGCCAAAGAGTCTGAGATGACAGTCACAGCTGATCAGCCCTCCTATGATCTACTCTTTTACAAAAAGAGAATGCTGGTCCCGGACATTTTAGACGTTTCAGGGACCTCTTAGTGAGATATATAGTACAGCAAGTCTAGCTGTTATCTTATGGAGAATGAAGAATATTTGCTCTTTTATAAATTGGTTTAAGATTTTTTAATTGTGTCACCTACTCTACCACTTTGGGGTTAGCACAGTAGCCTTACCACTGGCATTTTATATCTTTTTCTCACAATCACATTACTGTATTCAATTCACAGTTGTTTTTGTGACTAGTTTATTTGTAATGCCAAGTCATGGAACAGAGGGAAGGGCAACTTGCTTCTGAGAGTGATAGTTTTGAAGGGAAGTGATGAACACTCAAAGGACCCATCCCCAGTTGCCACAGAGGTGATGTGGTATGGACTGTATGCCCAAATAAGACTACTGTAGTTACAAGTGTTGTTTGGCTGTAGAATCAGTTAAAAAATTAGATTTCTTGGTCAGTTTTCCATATTTGTTGTGCTCCTGCAATTAGCTAAGTGGAAATACTCAAACCACTTTCAGCACTGTAGTGATCCTTTTTTTTTCTAGTAAGATTTCAGCTTTTGGTATTGTAATTGTATAAAGTTTTCAGAGCAGATAACAAAATGAGCTTTGTGCTGCCCAGGCATTTGGCAAATTGTAGAAATGGGCAATTTGTAAGTGGTTTAACATGCTAGGGCCAGTCATAGGTATTGTGAAGTTCATTATATTATACTGTAGTGTATATTGAATTGAAACAGAATTGAATTGAAACAGTTTATTTAGCCAGAAAAACACAGATACAGAGTGGATAATAATAACAATATTAACATGGCCAATTGAGAACCTGAGCTCTCCTGTAGGCAGGCTTGTGATAAAATATTTGACAATAGGTAGGTAATTACTGACTGTTTTCTGCTGGATAATATAGTTCGTGTTTTAGATTTTTGAGTTGTATTTTTGTTTACGGTATTTATTTCTTTTCTTTTATTTTTATTACAAAATATAATACCACTATGGTCAGTTTAATGAGATTCCATATGAATTCTTTACAATAACATTATCAGCCTTCTTTCAGGAATGACTAAATTCTTAGGCTGGATTAAGCCAGTTTCTCAGCCTTTTTTTTTTATGAAGGTAATTAGCCTAAATATTTAGATGGGTTCTCATTTGTTAACTGATCCTTTGGTCTGGTTCATAAGCTCCTAGTTTCTAATAGGGACTTTGTAGTGGATGAGGTAGGAGTGGCCTTCAGTGAGGGCCCTTTTCCTGTTACCTATTTCTTTAAGAAGGAAGATTTCTGGGGTTTTTGCACTGGGTAGGATTTTCCTTGTGCCTTCCTTCCCGAGTGGGATGTTTATTATACAGGGACGTAGAGCTTGTTATGCCACCTCTCTCATCTTCTATCTGGCTTCAGATCCATGATTCACTTAGTGAAGGGTGTTAGGTTGTAAACAAGGGATTGATCCTGAAGTCCCATTTTATGGCTGAACACTTAACTGAGTCAGTCAGTCATAGAAGTGAATTGATTGAAGCCTAGAATACCAACACATATTTCATGGTATCCTGAATGAATGATATACTGTACAAGATGCATACATGCAAGTGTTACATAACTTGTTACTCTATACCTTAAATGGTGACTTGCTTCCAAAGATTCCTTTAAGGACTTGGTCATGATGGGAAGGCATATTTAATTAGTATGCATAAGGTTTAGCTGAGTTTGCCGCTCATACTCTTAATGAATAGATACACGAATCGCTTAGTTGTGGGCGAGGCCATAGAATGGGGTTTCAGGACCAGTCTGTTGTATTTTACCTTTTTTCCCAATATTTTATATCAAACTTATTTACTGTTTAGCATCAAAGAAATTCCATGGCCTGACATAAATATTTACTATAAAGCAAATTTTTGGCAGATATTTCTTACCCTCACAAGAGCAGGGAACATTATAAAAAAAACATGCAGTACCAATATTACAAGTACAGTACAGTATAATTCAATTGTTTATAAAATGCTTACTTAGGTACAGGTATTTAGCTACTTCTTCCTTATTAGATCCACATGATATAGATGAAATTTGGAAGTGCACTGTGTGACTATGAATAATTTGAGCATCTTCAACAGGTAGGAGTGCACAGTGACAGTCAGCGGACTGGTGATGGAGGAGCCACGGGTGCTGAGCGGAGTGGCCCTGCCCGAGAGATGCACCAGTGTCCTTGCTGTACATATTCCACCGCTAGGAAAGACCACATGAAAGAGCACATACGTACCCACACTGGAGAGAAGCCATTTTCCTGTCCACACTGCCCTTTTCGCACAGCAAAAAACAGTGACTTACACAGACATGTGCAAACCCATACTGGCGAAAAGCCATTTGCATGCTCACACTGTCCTTTCCGTACCTCTCGAAAAATCAACCTCAAGAACCACCTTCTCACACACACAGTTGAGAAGCAATTTGCTTGTCCTCAGTGCCAGTATCCTTGCAGTGGTAAAGGTGCCCTAATGCGACACATACGTGCCCATAGTGATGAGTCACATTCCTGTCCTTACTGTCAACTCCGTTTTCCTCGTCGATCCTTGCTAACTTTTCATATGCGAACTCATACTCATTTGTAATCTGCCTTTTCTCAGTGCCTATTTTTAAAAAGTTTTAAATATGGAAAAGAAATTTATAGTGTTGATCAAAATATTGTATATTATTGAAAACTCTCAAAACTAAATATTTTGCAGCTCAGGATTGAGCAAAACAAACAGTACAGTACATATACTACATAGTTGTTTATATTCCTGTGTGATTATTGTGACAGGAGATGGTCACATTAGCTCTCAGAAGCATTATCCTGAGAGAAGGAAAGGCTCACTTCCTTCTGTCATTAATCAGTTTTATTCCTTGGCATAGTGATGATTGCAGATTTAAGGTTTTATCCAGGATTTGGGGTTTATTAGTCACTTACTTTGATCATTTAATTTGTCATCTGATTCAACCCATAATACTCTTTAACCAAGTACAGTATAGTACAGTATAATTAATCCATATAACGAAGAAATTTTTGGGGAGTGAATGAATAAAAATTTAGTTTGGGTTCAGTTAACAAGTGTCTTGGAAGCGACTACAGGGTAATTGATATTGAGGGTAAACTAAAGAGAAAAAATCCTACACCACCTAAGAGGCTTATCATATAAAATACCACCATCAGTTCCTTGGGATTGTTTACTTTTGATAAAAGTTACTTGAGTTAATTGATGTATTGGTAGTCTACATCACATTCTCAGTCCACAATATCTGCTTCGTTAGCCATTCTTATGCCATTTTTTGTAGGATTATATAATATACAACTGTACCTCCTTATTTCTATGATGTTCCTTGTATACATTTAATAAGTAATTTATAAGAGCCTAACTTTTATTTTCAACTGCAAATACAAGTGATAACCAAAATGAAATACTTGAGCACTGCATGAAAGTGAGTGTTAGTTTGAGAGGTGGTCAGTGGGGAAGACATCACCCAGCTTAAACTTGTGAGAGAAAGTGTACTTGTTGTAGAAGGATTGACAGATAGGTAGCATAAAATAAGGATGACTTAATTTTTTCCATACCATCTAACTGTTTAAGAGTGAAGCAAATGCAACACCACTTGTAAACTGTGTCCCAGACTTTAAAAAAAGAGCACAGAAGGGATGAAATGTATACTGTACTGTACGTATTGTATTCTAGAGGAATCTGGCATTACAATTTATAGTATTGACTTATGGTACATCCAGAGAGGCAGTGCTTGTCTGGCTCATTGGTGTTCCACCACTTGTACATCTCTTGTTCTGTCTTGTAGACAAAAGTTTTAGCTACAACTATATTTTTTTATGATGATTTCTGTAATGTTTAGTTATTATATATGATTACTTCTCAAAGTGTTTACACTGTATAATTATTTTGCAAAGCTTACTGAAGTAGTTGGAACTGTTGGTAATCTTATAATATTCATACAGTATCTTCAAATACAGGTGAATGGGGTTTGCTGAAAGTCAATGCCTTCCCAATTTATTTTAGCTAAATAAATTTCTCTCGCTGAAAAGAACAGTTTGCGCATAAAGAGTAAAGCATAATGTCAAAACATTATCTGTGATGACTTAATAGTTTGTGTTTGAGGTCTTGCATACTGTTATTATTTGAGAGAAATTAACCACATATAATGTAAAGCATCAAAATGCAGTACAGTACAGTAGTCTCATAGTCAGAGCACACCAAGTTATAATAAGATGCTGTTTTTTTTATATAGGAAACTATATCTTGAACAGATTATATTATATAATGAATCTCAGATGAGGTTCAGCTTAACTTATTTAAAATATTTCTGCGAATTATAGATAGTCTCTTGAACTTAAATGTAGTCATAAAGCTGGGTACTCTTAATCTAGAATGGCTCTTCTGTAAGAGTATTTCACTCTCATCAGTTATTGTAGCAAAAATTTATTGAGAGGACAATATTCACAATATGCACTATTGGAGTACGTAGTCACCACATTTTTCTGTAGTAGTACAGTATTATTAAACCAGTCCAAGTGTTTAATAAATTTATATTGATACTTGAAAATAATTAGAAAGCTTTAACCCAGAAAATATTAGTAGTTTATCATCAGTAAAATATTGACTGCACTTAACACATTCAGTTTTAAACTAAGAGAAAACTAATTTAGGCAACCTTTAGAATTCTTCTTACACTACAATATTGGTACTTCAACAGAGATAATGATTATTGAAGGAATGGGAAACAAAAATATTGGTGAAAAAGAAAGTAATTGAAAATTAGACTGTTTAAGGTTATACATATTGTACTGTCATAGCCCTTTACATATAGAATTTGCACCGAGGATGTCAGCAGCCTTTATCACAAAATCCTCAAGGGGTGTTTACCTTTCAGAATGAAGAATGAGATCCTCTACAACTGACACAATGTGCAGTAATCATGAGATATTGTAGTTCTGAGAGGCTCCCACAACCTAGCTGTTTAGGTGCTTGTAGGCATCAGTCTTTTCGTGCTCATGAAAATAAATAATACTGTAGTTGTCATCTAAGGCTACTGAATCATATACTGAATCACGGTGAAGAATTTATAAATGGTTAGTAATTGAGCTTGTGTCAAGCAAAAGTGCATTGCATCATGTATTGTATATAAAGTTATTTTGGACAGGAAAAAAATGGATAAAGACACAAATTACAGTGGTATAGAGATTTGCCTGGTACTGTTTGGACATTGAAGACTAAAAGATTACAATGTGTTGAACATTTGTCTAGAATCAACTTAATATAGTGTGGGCTTGAAGAGAGCTTTATGGGCACTTGCTGATGGTGAATCTTGACAAGTGAGCATCCAACCAAATAGCTATTAAGCTGAGAAGTGACAAAGACTAAGAGTTAATACAGGAAGTAGAAATTAAGTTGCTGATGTGTCAGAAAATAAATTACCAAAGATATTAATTATATGTATCATGATATGGAGGAGGAAAATGGTGTGGCTTATTACTTGTAAAGATGAAGGGTAAGTTGTTCTTAGGAGACCCAGAGGCTTGTCTAGTTATATATATATATATATATATATATATATATATATATATATATATATATATATATATATATATATATATATATATATATATATATATATATATATATATATATATATATATATATATATAATTTTTGCATTTTTAAGTTGATGGTAAGATAAAGCATTTCTAGTTACTATCATTATTATTATTATTTTTTATCTTAATACATATATCATTGAAAATATGGATGGTATTTTACATATTTGTTTTCTTAAATTTCATTTATGTGATGCTGCTCATCCAGACATAATTTTATCGCTACAAGAAAATTGTACAGTTGCACTTTTTTGATCTTGGCGAATTGAATATTGAGTTGCCGTGAACACTGTTGTGAGTACAGAAATACTGTACAGTACAGTGAACTGGAGAAGTGGTAGTATAGTTCATACACATTTCAGAGATATAATACATAGCAATAGCATTTATGTATTGCCTTCTAATAAATATCACTTACCATACATTTCTTAATTGTCATAATTTCTTATCCTTTTCATTATCCAGTCACCATTGTTTTCCAGAAGGTATACTGTATTTGTTAAAGGTTCATATGCAGTACAGTACCATCATCAACATCAGCCTACATCGAGCTACTGTTCTTCCAAAGCTGCCTCTTTTGATCTAAACAGTTAAGCAGTCCCAACTATTTTAATTTTGTCTGTCATCTGGTAGCTGGATTTTTTTCCCCATCTTTTCTTGTCTCAGCGAGATTCAATTGAGGATCTTCTTGGTGTACTTTTGCACTGCCCTTTGTATTGTATGGTCTGCTTATGCACATCTTTTCTTTTTGAGTTTGTGCTGTATTGTCTCATATTTTAGTTTGATTAGTATACCTTCCACATGACTTTAATTGTTGCTTTCCATTTTTAGGTAGGCATGTAGTCTTCTGATTACTTCAAGGAGTTGTGACCCTACTTTACTAGCTGTTCCCATACTGTGGGTTGGTGTTAGAAAGAGCATCCAGCCATAAAACTTTGATTCAATATGCCAGATGGCAACTAGGTCACCAGAGCTGTGCCCATCCCTGGGTCTCTGCTGCAATTTCTAGGCTGGCACACTTATGCAGCGTGCCAGTACCTGGGCTTCCAATGGTGATCGGGGGAGGGGATCACATTCTGGTTTTACCTGACAGCTGCCTTCAGGTAATCATGGCTAACCCATGCAATCGTGGAAAATGGCTGTGGAATATTAATGATGTCTGATTCATTTTTGATAGCACAGTGCAAAACTCTTCTCTAGTTTCTTAAGGATTGCTGGTTCATGAACATAACACCAACAGTTGACCCAGAGGTAACTGTGTATCAGGGATACATAGCGTGTATCTCCACTAAAGTACCGGCTTCAGGTTTTTGCTTTCACTATTTCAGTTTAACCAGTTACTGTACTGTAGACTACTGTATATGGGCTTTCATTTGAGGTTTAGCATAGTTGCTACTGTACCTTATTTTAGTTTTTTTTTATATATACCTGTATATATAAGTTCTTAGGCATATCTTTATTGTAATTTAATGGCTGAGTTAATGAATTTGGGGTTTTAATATGGCTTTTGTGTATGACCTCACAGAGATCTTTTACAGGTTACTTATTTTACATAATACTGGTAACTTTTTTAACAGACCTAGAGCTAATACTGTAAATGAAATGTGAATCAACAAGAATTTTTACACAAAAAAGTTCTTCATTGATTAAACAGTCAAGAGTGTTACCCTGATGAGAAAGTTATTGAATCTTCTAGTTTTCCATTATGCAGTACTATACCTCAGGTTGAAAGCTCACTTTTGATTTAGCGGGAATGATTTGTTTTTTTCCCCTGCTTGAACTTAGGCTGGTGCCTTTTCTTGTACATTTTCATGCTTTGTCTCAGGCTTTAGTAGGGAACATTTTGTCCTTTTTCTCTCTTTTATGAGCTTCATATCTGGATTTTTTGAGAATTATTAATCCCAGAAGCATATTACGTATTGTATATAACTCATTTCGAGGGACACTTCATGATCAGTCCTATGTTTACTGACAGTCTTCATGTGCTGTGCTCGAGATTTTTTATTATGTCTTATTTGTTATAGACTGATCAAATTAATACAGTTCTTGCCTCATGTCTTAAGGGTTCTTGATTCATGCACAGAGTACCCATAATCCATCCCACTGTGAATGGATGCCAGGCTTTATAGTTGGGTAAGTGATGGCAGTTGTTTGCAATGATGGCCACACTTCTTCATGTTTCAAAAAAGCTTAGTATAGTATACATTGTGCTGCATCTAAACTGTCCCTCTTGGGCTGTCAGGATTATGGAACCCACTTTCACTTCCTTTTCATCACCATAGCCAGCAAAAGTTGTGGTGCTGCTGTAAGGACAAAATAAATGCATAAAATTACTAGTATGGATAATGAACAGAAAATACAGCATCTTCTTCTCAAGACATCTACCACTGAGTCTGACCAGCCACCCCTTCTTTCACCATACACCTTGGCCCCAGGGGTGCAAGTAGGTTAGCTTATATAATTTGTATATTTTTGTATGTTAATGTAGTGTCCTGTTTGTGCAGTATTTGTTTTTTCACATTTATAAGAACATGGATGCATCAGAGTACTGAAAAAAAAAACTTAAAATGGCTCCAAATATACACTTACAATAGCCACAAATACTACTCTGTAGTTTTATTTTGTGCCTCAGAAAAAGCATGCTGGAAAATTTGGAGTCCCCTTTCTCCCAGTTAGTTTAGTTTCACATAATTTTCTTGTGTTCTTATGTGACTAGTAATCTTCTGTTTTTCAAGTCTTGTGGAATAACATCCAATTAAAAATTCTTGTCAACTTGATTTATATAAAAAATCTTTTCCTAGTTTAAGAAAGAATGATACTGTATACAGTATTGTACAAATATGTACAGTCCAGAGAAGATAGTCATTAACCTAATAATAATAATTGTGTATTTGTTCCAGGTCAGCCGTGAAATTCTTTTACAAAAATGATGCACATCCCAAAGATACTGTACTGCATTAAGAGTTTTATCAAGACTTGGAAACTATCAGATAACAAACATTTTATTTTAAAATCAAAGATATTGTAGTCAAATCTGGAGTCTTGTTGATAAGAAGCAATACTAACTATGTACAGTTTTCAATTTTCAAAACAAAGTAGCCATAACACTATCTTTCCAGTCAAATTTATTGGTTAAAATGGGACAGGAGATCCCTATACCTGTACCAAGAAGTGCAGTTTTGAACAGATAATTGGCTTATCAAATTAATCCCATCTAACATGTCTTACCTACTCTCAACCTAAAAAGATGTGCTTAATCTATTTGAGCATCATCATGGAATTAAGAATACCTGAAAGCAAGTTATCTATACGGTACAGTACAGGTATATTGGTCTTTATGAGGAGCTGCTTCTTTAAGGTAATAAGCAACACCCAATTTGTACCTCTTGGGAAGTTGTGTTAATTTCCCTGGCATCTGATCTGTCTGGACATTCACCCATTTACCTGGCCTTGTGTCTCACTGGTTGTCTGGAATACATTATTGTATCCCAAATTTTACCAGCTTAAAGAATGGACAGTGCTTGTGATCCAAACCTGCCTACCTTCCCTGGGTTCTTCGTTTATTGTAGAAAGTGTAAATGAAACTGCATTTGTGACTTGTTAACAGTGGCTGAGAAGTTCAAAACATGAGATAGGATTCACAATATTTTTTTTATATTATTCTTTGTGTAATACTGTAGTAGTCCATTAAATGCACTAATTATGAGTCAGGTATCGTAATTTGAACCAAAGTCTCATTTAGCCTAGAGTAGTTACTAAATATTTAAACAGTACAGTATCAATGTCACAGATCACGTCTTTTCTTCTCTGCAGCCATAAAAATGGGATTTCATAACCTCAGTGCATTATGCCCTGCTACAAATATGGAAATGATATACTGTACAGTATTTTGTTACCCTTGTTTGTCTGTCCAACTGCCTATCTGTACATACATATGAAATGAATTTTCTCAAATAAAACAGGTAATATAGTCATGAAACTACATTCACACTCACCATAGTGTACACAACTTGATCAAATCAAATAAAGAGTTGAATACTGTGACCTATATTTTTACATTAGATAATTTTAATATATATTTTTTTCATTATATTCGCCACTTATCAGGTTACTAGCCGTTTGGGCGGTCTATCCAGTGTTAGTACAGGAGGAAACTGGGCAACCTGTTGTGTTTGGTAGGGTCACATTGGATTACACCCTTCTCACGTGTGTCCGGGCCGAGGCTTGAACCCTTCACATATTGGTGAGAGTTGTACTCATTACTGCTGTACCACCAACACTCATTCTAGTTGTTTCAGCTTTGTGATCAGTGTACAAAGCTGGGCATCTGTATCTTAAGGATAGATTTTTTATTTTTTAATAAGCCTTTTGTCATGTGTAAAACTAGTTGAAATATAAATTTGTGAATTACAAAAGATATGAACACAGTGTTTAAGAATTTCATGAATTCTTAAATCTGAAATACACCGTCTTACCTAAATTACTTGTTTTGTTCAGATTTAAATTTTTTAAGAAGTACAGTACAGTAAAAATCCAAAAATCCGGATGCCAGAAATCCGGACCACCCGAGAATCCGGACTTTTCGAAAACTTTAAAACTTTTTAAATTTAGCGGGCTTTTGTGGGTTACGTGAATGAATGGCGTTCCTTTAAAAAAATTTATTTACATAATTCTAATAATAAAAGTCATTGTAAATTATAGGTAGCTAATTTTGTTAGTTTTGTAATTAGCTTGTCCTCAAATGTAAAATTTGTGGCACTATAAATCTTTTGTGTGTATGTGTGCATGCCTGAACGCCACAGCTACACAGCGACAACAAACGACCACGCGATCGCCACTTTAAAACAAGCAATCAAACTGTGACAACGTATGTAATTTTGAGTCCTACTCTTTCCATTTACAGAGTACAAGCCCATAATAATGGCCCCTAAAGTAGAT